GATGAATTATAATCATCCTATGTACAATGTGTTAACATTTGTAAAACTTCTGAAAGATTGATTTGTGGTTTTTTAAGGCTAATTAAGGCCTTATTTTTGGACTGATGAATTCAATGACTTTTAAAGACTTTTTAAGGATCTGCAGGAACGCTGTAAACCAAGCTGTGCAAGAAAAGGGGTTAAACTTTGTAGCTATATTCATTTACGGCGACCGTACTTCCTGTAAACTCTGCTTTAGCGTAGAGATATAATTTCTACGTTGGGACGCCGATTATTTAGGAGGGGAGACTCAAAACACAACTTGTCGCTTGATAAAAACGTCTCTTTTTAAAATCTTATAAATAAAACTAGCATTCCTTGAAGGAATCAATGTCACCTGCCGTATTGCGTGCTGAAGTTTTTATTAAAAATGTTGTGTACTGGTAGTAGATTTATGCAACCGTCACAACTCTTAGTGCGTTTCCCCATCAGGAAGCTTTTTTTTCCGACTCATTACCTGCCATGAGCTCCCCTTCTAAAATAAAAAAAAAATAAAAATACAACTGGAATTTCCAATTTCGTTTTGCGCATGTACATTGAGAGATGAAAGATGGAATGTGTGCCGCTCTATAATCTGTCTCGTCTTTTCAATAGTCAGGTTTTTTAAAAGGGGAAATTTTGACAAGATTTAAAAGGTTAACTATATACATAAAAATAGCCAAAATTCTATACCTAAATACCTAATATATCCACTTTTACCTATAAGACATGGGTTGTAATAAAGTTTCATGGCTTATATATCCCAGAATACAACGTTTTTCTTATAAAGGTTTATATTTCATTAATGATATTTTAGTTTCAGTCGTGAACAATTGGAGAAGGCTCTTTTTGTTKAAAGTATACTGATGGAGATATCCTTGACCGTGGCTCTAATTAAATGGTAATCCCTTTTAACAGACAGCAACAGCTACTCAAATCTTTTTATCCCCCCTCGTTACCTCGAGGCGTCCCCCCTACCCAACCCAACCCCGTAACATAAATCTTTCTCCTCCCCCTTTCCTGCCTTGCTGAAAGTTAGCTAAAGGCTGCAGAGAAGCAGCTTGGGTTTCCAGACAAAAGCCCAATCCTCTGTCAGAAAGGAGACACTTTCCAAACCGGGARGAGCATTTATCACGGGGAACCTGTTTTTCTGCCCGGTCCCTGTCTCACACCCGGCTGCCTTTGCAACAATGGGGAGACTCGCTCACTTTCTGTCAGGAATGTGAGTTTTGGAGGGGTTTTTGTTCTCGTCTGTAGTTAAACAACAAAGATTGAACGTGTCGAGGTATGCGAGGTGACCGATTTTGTTTGAGTTTCGCACAGATAGATACGTCATCGTTTAACAAATCAGTGGTTAATCTCTAATTTAAAATCTTTAAAATCCACAATGTGGCTGCAGCTGGTTAACATGACATTTCCTGGATGAAATTACATGTTGGAAATAATCGGCTAATGACCCAGGGAGAGCAGATTTGGATTAGTTAATAGCGATAGGTCAGGCTTTACAAAAGACCAAATGTTTCAGGACCTGTTTTCAGCTGCTTTAACCTTTGATTTAAACTTTAGCAGGCATGTTTGACACTTGGGTCAAGTTTTTAGGCAATGGGGGGTGTGCTTGTTACAACTGAGGGTCAAAATACACGTTTAACCTGAAACAAAGAGCTCCTGATCCTACAAAGTATACTTCTCTCTTAAGTTTCTAAGGGGACACCCTATTTCCCTGAGCTACTGCCAATCAAGTTCCTGACATGTATTTCACTTAGTTTATAATAACTATAGAAAAGTTTACAATCGACAGCATATTTTATGAACTCTTTGTGGTACCATTAAAGCATCTTACAAGCTACAATAAACATTAAGAAAACAGATTAAATGGAAAAAAAGATTAAAATAAAAAAAAACAATTCATCCTGCAGTATCATTCCAACACATTTTTAAAAAAAAACAATATTGTGCTCCGAGTAGTTTAGCAATCCATTTAAGAAGACCGAAAATAAAAAGTACTTTCACTAAATAGGAAGCACATGGTCTCACATTAAATTATAGCTTTTTTTGTTCCTGCTCGTGTTTCAAAAGAACTTTTTGTTCCCTCGTTTATGGGAACCATCCTGCCACAGATCAGACAGAATACAGAGATTCTGACACTTTAAAGCAGAAAAGAAAGAAAAAGCAAATGTTCTGATGTCGTCTTTGTTCATTGTAGTTTATTTTTGAAAGAGTTACGATGACGACGAGGCACCTTCATCCTAARTTTTATTTCTATGTGGTTTGGAGAAAACTGATTTTTGAAGAGTTTTGTTTATTCTGCAGCCGAAGACGTTTTGCGCCTCATCCAGGAAGATTTTTCCAATTTAAAACTGGAAAATGTGGCATCCTGAGCTTTAAACTGTAGAACTAACATGCAGATTAATCTCGCTGCCCTGCCCGCCTGAAGGTTGTCAGGGTCTTTGTTTGGCCAGAAAATCTCCAAGATGGGAAGCAAACTGCAAAAATAAAAGTTCATCTGGTACCTTGCAGAAATGGTGACACAATGATCTAATAATAAAGCAATACTGGAAAGTTTTTTTCATTCTAATGCAAATTTTGTGGTTTTGAGAATAAATGCAACTGACACCACAAAATGTCAGGGTCAGGTTCTGCTCCACCGCATGACCTGAGCAAAATCAGATCAGCATCACAGGACCAAGATGGCAAAGACCAAGAGGACACAAGCCTGCACACGCAATTATTTATTTGATTAGGTTAGTTTCTTCTACTGTGTGGAGCCAAAATAAAACTGCTCTCCCACAACACAAACATAATCCTTCGTCAATCATTAACCACAAATAAATGAGTCGATGAGTGCAAGAAAGCAAATGTATCCTTGATCTTTAATAATTTACAGCACTTTTCCTTAACTGGAAGCTTCTCTGCAGGTCTCTTCCACCCCCTGATTTAGGTTTGAGCTTATTAGAGTCCATCTGGATCGAYACCGAAGCTGATCTTTGAGGGAGGAGTTGACAGATCCTCGGTTTCTCGTTGACCCTCCTTCACCCCTTTTTGTCTGACATTCTCTAGAGACATATTTTCTCACAACTGTGTTGTTTTGAACGAGTCACAGCCTTGTAAGATGCCACACAGGCCTCGGTGTTTGAGGTTAAAACTGCCAGTCGGCCAGATTTTCAACAGTTTGGTGCGTGCTTGTGTCAATTACCAAAARAGATTCTGTTAGGGTTAGCTTCTACGAAATTTTAGTTGGTTAGTGTTAACTTCAGCTGAGACAACTGTCAGTAAACAATTAGCTGTTAGGGTTAGCTTCCAATAATGTTTATTTGTTTTACTGCTCAACGTTAACTTCTGTTAAGARGACTTTGTGACAGTGATCTTAGCAGTAACCGACTGGCTGTTATTGTTGGTTTCTACTCATTTTAAATTCTTCAGCTGATTAGCATTAGTTTCTGCTAATTAGGAGTTGATAATTAGCTGTTTATGTTAACTTCCCCTAATTCTTTACTTGTTCATTCCTCTAATTTTTAAAAGCGTTTAGTGACTTAATGTTAGTGATGCTATATTTTTAATTAGCAGATTCTGAGTAAGCGTAGCTAACTTTTAAGATAGCTGTGCCCACCACTGCTTCAAATTTATACTAATAAAATAGTGCAAATATATACAACTAATCAGGATTAACAAATGATTAACAGATACAAAAAAACTTTAAAATAAACAAATGTGACTTGAAATTTTTGAAAAGTTTAATCTAAAGAGGCCCACAGTTCTGAGAATCTTAGAGATCTTTGCACAGCTTTTAAATTCTGCGAACGTTTTTTTCTTGCACTGGGGTCAAWTTTAATGCTTTTTGAGCAGTTTTATAGAGTGCCAGAAAAGAAGATCAAACAAAGGAGGAAAGGTGGAGAAGCTGCAGGACATCCCAGTCTTTCTTGTGAGAAACATTTGCATCTATGAATATCATCGCTTCTTTAACTCAGGTTTATAATTGTCAGTTAAAATCTATATCCCTACTGGTCTCATCACAAAGTAAATTAGGCTTTGAGAAGTATTTGTCCTTTCAGACACCTAGAGGTTTTCTGGACCGAACATCGACAAATTTCTCTTACACCAGGGAGTAAACGTGTCATTTCAGAGTCTCAAACTAGTCCTTTCTCTTTACAGCACACCTCCATCAGAGTATGGATGTTCAAACAGTGTGAGGGGCCAGAGTTTCACTCGGGGCTCGTGTGTCATCTGACCTCGTTTTAAGGTGGACCCGGGAGGCTGCGGGGAAGGCAGAGGTGTACCTTTCACTGCAACCTTTTCTTTGCTTCCTGTGAAAATGACAGGATGAAGGAGCGCTCACAAAGAGAGAGTAAGACGTCTGGCCTGGAACCCATCAGCAAGAAGATGAAAGAGGAGCACCAGTGAAGTCACGTAGCAAAAATGTAACACGGAGATATACACAATGGCTTCACCTCGAGTGAAAGTTTGATCCCAGAAGCTACAGCTCACAAAGATGAGCAAAGAATAAAAGAAAAATATGAAACATATTGGTGTCACGGGTACTGCATTTAAAAAAATGCATTTGGTTTACAACTGTAATCTGAAGTGATTATTGTACCAAAATAAAGGTAAGATGTTTACATCGTGGATCTCYGATGAGTACATTTGTTTCCACAATTCACTGTAGCTGAKGTTGCTTRGGTCCACATTTTCTGGTTTTCTTCGTACTCTGGTTTATGGTGGCGTTTCAGGTGATTAAARGAGTTTGTGATGTTAGCATTAGCTCTGTATTAGCATCAGCTCRGTTAAGTTTTAGCTTTACAGTAGCMTTAGTGTYGCTCTGCATTTATTTTAGCTCTGCATTAGTGTTAGCTAAACAGTAACATTACTGCTTGCACTGCATCAGCTCTGCCTTAGTATTAGCTCCATGTTAGCGTTAAAGTAAGGTCTATGTTATTGTTAACGCCACATTAGCATCAGTGTGGCTCTAAATTAGTGTTAGCTACATGTTAGCATTGTTTGCTCGGCGTTAGCTCCATGTTACTGTTAGCTCCACATCAGCATTAAAATTATGTCCACATTAGTGTTTAGGCCACGTTAGCATTAGTGTAGCTCTGCATTAGTGTAACTCAAAGTTAACACTACATTATTATTAGCTACACTTTAGCACTAGAGTTAAGTCTATATTAGTGTTGGTACCATGTTAGCATTAGTGTAGCTATGCATCAGTGTCAGCTCCATGTTAGCATAAGAGCTAGTGTTGGCGCCACGTTAGCATTAGTGTAGCTCAGCATTAGCATTAGCTCTCCCTTAGAGTAAGCGCTACATTAGTATTAGCTCTGTGTTAGTGTTAGCTCAATGTTGGCATTAGTGTAGCTCAGCATTAGCATTAGCTCTGCCTTAGAGTAAGCACTATACTAGTATTAGCTCTTCGTTAGGGGCTCGACACATGGGAGGCGACGTCGCTCGCTCTCCGTTCATTTCCTGTGGAACTTATGTGATGAGACGACTATCACTCACCCTCCTCCAGCCAAGCGGCCGGCGAAAATTACTCGTAGACGTGCACACGCGAGCTTGCGACGTGACATATGAAAGTTGAAAAATGTTCAACTTTTGTCGCTGTTGCTAGGCGTTACAACCAATCAGCGAGGGTTTCATTGACTGACCAATGAGAGGAGAGTATGCTACACACTGCAGTTAGCTAACACTTTCAACGTTATTTMAGCTCTGTCAAACTTTCCAGTTTTATATGACCCTTCACCAAGTGATTACCAAAAAAAGGCAGCTTTATGGGAATTTGTTGGTTGTGATGACAGCCGCTAATCGCTGTCYTTTGTTGCTCCCTGTGTGTCGAACTCTTTAGTCTTAGCTCCACGTTAGCATTAGCATTTGCACCGTGTTAGTATCAACACTTTGGGTTAATGTTAACATTAGCTTTCTCATTGACCTGCATAAGTCACTAATCATATTAATTGGTGACAGCTTTTCTGACGATTAATTTTGCCCAACATTAATTTGTAGTCCTTGAAATATGTTCAGTCAGCAAATTGTTGATAATTCATGACAAACTGTATCAGAGGCCCTTTAAAGTTAAAAAGATCAAAATGAAATTGGTGAAACTGGCCGTARATAATTGGTATCAGATCAATACCAATCATTTACATACTTCTGAAATGGGGTGGATTTTACAACTCTACATGAATACCTTTTATTCTACCCACACGAGTGTGTATTTGTAAAATTCCAGTTCCATCTGCACCACAGGAAGTCAAACAGACAAACAGCCGGCAGCCTCCTCTGTTGRTCCGGCCCGCAGGGAGTCCACAGCCTTCATCGTCTCGACAACATAAAGCTCGAACCTCCGGCCGCTCAGAAGGACGGGACCGTGGCCCTCAGCTCGGGTCCTAACCTGGATGAGAAGGCTAAAGCGGCAACAATGGTTCCACCGCGAGGGTGCTTTGACATCACCCACTTTGGAGGAAATCAGGACAACAAAACATATATTTCCTCTGCTGTTTGGCACACGGGGGCGAGCTGGGGGGCCGGTGTCGATTGTCAGACACGACAACACATTTCTGTCTGTCGTCGCTTCGCCAGATGAGGACAGGAAACAGCGTCCTGTGCAGCATCATCAACGAGGCTGCACATGCACAGAGCTGCTCATTGTAGAGACAGAGGTTCTGTTGACAGAGGCAGAAATCACTGATCCTGATAACAATGTTTGGACTTTTCATTTCACCAAAAAACAAATGAAAGAGAGACTTTTACTGAAAGAGTCACTTTAAAGATTCCACACAGAACAGGCTGGGAGACGTGATGCGGATATTTAAATCTGATATTAACTATTTTAGGAGTCAAAAATTCATCATTAATCAAATAAAGTGGGAATTTTAAGTTTATTTTTTACAAAAAAGGAAAAAAAATTGATAAAAGTTGGCTCAGTAGAGAAAAATAATCTACCATTATTAGTTGAATATATTAACATTGATTTGTTTAATAATTTAGATCCTTTTTTTCTCCTTATTTTGATTCAAAATGACCTTAATATTTAGTGTTTTATATTTATTTTAGCTCATTTATTTATTTAGAAGGGACAATGCACATTAATTGGCATGTCTGTAAATGTGCCAGAATTAGTCAAAAGGTGTTTTTTTTTCATCTGTTGTCTCTGAACTTGCTAAAAACAAACAAGGTTATTCAAAACAAGGTTAAAATGATTCAACTACATACATTCAGTCAATAATACAGATAAATACAATCAATACAAATCATTAAAAAAAAGAAATTAAGAATCATTAAAACTAATTTAAACCTTATATAAGAATAATGCTGATAAAACTCTTAAATTTTATTAATTTWAATATGTATTTTATTTATCAACTATTTTCCTATCTAATGCAAATAGATTGTTTAATCAACTACTTTAAATTTGTACTTAGCAGAATAAAAACTATTTTTAAATGRTTTTCTAARTARGAAAACTGCATAAAAAKGCCACTTTAGTCTTCTTTAAAAGGTTAGAATAAAAAATAAATATTATTTCTGCAGCTTATTAAATAAACAGAGAAASCTTCAGCCAAAATAAAATTCAGTGGTTACATTCTGGAGGAGGACTGCTGAGCGAGAAATTCTGTCAGATACCAAAACAAGTTTCCTAAAGCTGAAAACCTGCTCAATTATTCAGCTTACAGTTCCATCCTCCTCCTCCTGTCTGGCTCGATGAAGACTCCTCAGAGGCAGGTTCAGGAAGAGGACAGCCGAGAGGATGAGAGGGGATTCAGCTCTTGGCACKGTTTGTTGAAAACTGGAACGAACCGGGTGAAAAGGAAGCAGAGGAAGGTGAAACTGAGTGCCAACGCAGCCAAGGCCAGGGATTAGGGACGGAGCCGACGGGTTGTTGATGTGAAATTTTTATTTTATTTTTCATTTTTGAATAAAAGGCTGCTATTAGCTTCACTCTCTTCTTCTGTCTGCTACAACAGAATGAGGCAACCACGACCGTTTGGACCCAYCAGAAGCCAAACATGGCTGAATTACGAGGGTCCCGGTCGGCGGGGGTCACATGGTGATTACATAAAATCCAATAAAAAAGAAGGCTTTCCTGTAAAATGGACAATTACAGGAAAATATCTGGATAAATGGGTCAATAATACGGTTAAAAGCAAGAATCTGAATAATTTTCACACGGCAGTGAAATACATCAGACGCGTTTAATCCAGATTTTATTTGTTTACTGTGGGAGATTAAAAAAAATCACTGTAAAGCTAAAAACATTGCTGTCTCTGAATAATATTTGTGAATTTTAACAAAGTCCCTGTTAAAAAATAAAAGCATCTATCTTAGCTAAAAACTAAATGAAGCTAAAGCTAACTGAAAGCAACACAAGGTTAGCTGAGAGCTAGGAGTCACAAAACATAACATGAGGCTAAAAGCTAAAAGTAGCAGAAAAGAATCTAAAACTGAAAGTGGCAAACGGCTAGATTAAAGCAGCCAAATAAAAAATAAACAGAGAGAAAAAAGYGTAAAAGTAGCAAAATGCTATCTAAAAGCTAAAGCAGTCAAAATTTAAAAGCTAAAAGTAATAAAAGGCTAATCAAAAGCTAAACACAAAAAACTGATGTATCAAAAGAAACTAGAAGCTTGACGTAGAGAAAGGCTACCTAAAAGCTGCAAAAGGCTAAAAGCTAAAAGTAGCACAGTAGCTAAAGCTAAAAGAGGCAAAAGGCTAGCTGAAAGCAGCCAAATAATAGCAAAATGTAGTTAAAAAAAAGCCAAATGCAGCAAAAATGGTTAGTTAAAAGCTAAAAGTACCAAAAGGCTAGGTAAAACTTAAGCTGCTAGCTGTACCAAAATACAGACTAGAAACTAAACATAGCAAAAGTCCAGCTAAAAGCTGCGTTAGGCTAAAAGCTATAAGTYGCAGAACAGTAGAAAAGCTAAAAGTAGCTGAATGAAAGCTAAAAGTAACGTATTAAAAGCTAAAAGTAGCAATAAAAATCTAGCTCAAAGTAGCAAAGGGCTAGCTACAAATATCAAAATGTTATCCAAAAGCTAAAGCAACAAAGTGTTCATTAAGTTACAAAACACCAAGTAAAAGCTAAAAATAATAAACTTCTAGATGTATCAAAAGACAAACTAGAAGTTAAACTCAGCAAACACCCCTCTCCTGAATGAGCTCAACTCTTTGATGTAACAATTAAAACAGAAGAAAGCCTGCAGAAGTTGTTTGGTAAAAATAAAAAAATTAACTGTAAAACATTTATGTGACTGCTGAGACATTTACATCATGAAGATCATGTCCAAACACAGAGCACAAGAAAGATGAATAACTAAAACAGTAGAAATGACACAGCCAAAGGAGGGTCAGAAAATCAGCTGGTTCCATTTACAGCCGAGAGGAAGAAGAGCCTGATCTGATGGACTTCTCTCCGCCTGTGGCCCGACGCTGTGATGAATTCATTCAGCCTCGGGACACAAACAGTTAATGGCTGCTGGGATTATGCAATGYCAACTCAGACGCCTTTCTCCCCTCCTGCCCTCCTTTATTCACTCTCCTCCTTCAAACGGGGGGGCTGCAGCCGAACGACGCATTCCAGCACGTTTCAATCAGATCCATTTAAATGCAGCGCCGCTCAAGCTTTCGCACA